AAAAACCCGGTTAGTTTACGCCGCTTATAGCATTAAACGGTAGACTAGTTCTACCTAAACACTCGATAGCTACTATTTGTTCTTTCAGCCGACTTTCTCACTATTTTTCAAAAGTTTTTCAGGCACCACGCTACGTTACATTAACACTAAGCAGTTAGCCTCCACTGGCTCTCTCCCTCTCTCTCATGCTCTGTCCTGGTCAGTGTGCCAAACTGTTTGACCCTAGGTCCTCTGCCTCTTTACTGCGATAATGGTACGACTGTATTAGAGTGTAGCTTTATTCACATGCGCTGGAGGCGAGGATCTAGTAAGTCTCAGAGGCAGCAGCAGCCGCCACCACCGAGTTATCATTAGGCCACCCCACTAGTAGCCAGCCACAGGTAGGCCGGTGCAGTCCCGACCCGAAAGGTAGCTTCAGGTAGCTGTCCCTCCGGTAGTCCGCGCTGGTAGTTCCCCGGTCAGGTTCCCGGAGCAGCCGGTGAACGACAGGGGAGGCGGTGACTGAAGCGGAGAAGCATCCGAACACGGCCGAAGCCGCACAGTTCTACCCCAACCCGTCTTCACCAGTTTCTAATAGTTTGGTTCCCCCCCTCCAGCGCACACCCGCTGAGGAACAGACTCCCTGATTAATTGGCTCTTCCATAGTCGAACCGGCTGAAGTCTAGGCGAGCCGCGGCCCAGCCCAGTTAAATGTATCACCTGGGCCCAGAGCGGGCGAATGTTGAAAAAATATTCTAAAACTGCTGGCTAAAAGAAGAATGTAGAATAGCATGTAAGCATTGTTATTCACGTCCGGCGCTAAATTGACCACGCGCGGGGCGCCCAAACCACACACACACCCCCGATCACGCCAATCGAACGGTCACCTAAGATCTAATGTGGAGTCGGCTGTGTTAATTATGCAAAACACAATGTCGGATCACCGTATTTTTTTCTGCGGCCCCCTGCCCAATGTGACCAGTGATGACATGTATAGCCGCATGTCGGTCCATTCACCCGCTGGCTGTCAAGAGGTGGTGTCCAGAAAAACGAATGTGCGGCCTTCAATAGACCACTTGGCGGCCTTCTTTGGGGAAAACCCTGGTCTGATTAGAAGAGACGGCATCCGTCCCACCCCCACCAACTTTGGACTGGAGCCTCTCTCGTTATCCAGGAATATGGCGAGTTTTTTCTAAATCCTGACAATGCAGCGCAGGCTGGAAACCCAGGAAGCACGCAGCTGCTGTCTTATCCAACTGCCAACTGCCAATCCACTTGTTCATTTATATAGGCAACCATTCAACAAACACAAGGTTTCCAAAGCTGCGCCAAAAAGATCATACAAGAATAAATAGAAACACAATAGAAGCACAGCAATAAAAGATAGGTACACAGTAAAGATAAAAGCAATAAAATAAAATAGAAATAAAATGAATAAAAATCAAATAAATATAAATAAAATAAAAAAAAGCACGCCCGCACCAAAGAATAAAAATATGCATGATATTACACATAAAATCACGCTCTAGCAATGGGTCAAAGGCCCCGAAGAAAAGAGGTGGGTTTAAGAAAGAATTTTAAAATGAGACCAGAGAGGTGGCCCCTGTCTAAATGTGCAGTGGCCAATCCCATTCCAAATGGAGCTGCAACGACAAACGCTCGATCCCCCTATGCCAGGCTTAAGGCCTAGCTTTAGGCCAGCTGTCAGGGAGCCAGCTGGTCCAGCTGAGAGATGCGGCTGGAGTCGTAGGGGTGCAGCAGCTCAGAGGGTAAAGTGGGGGCCAGGCTTCAAGGCTTTAAAGTACCTAAAAGAATTTTAAAATGAATCCATAAGAGGAAAACTTTGCACATTCTACTGGTGTTAAGAATAAAGCTGATTTTTGTTGAAACTAAATCTTCTCCTATCGCTTCATTAAAGAACACGCGAGGATAAGGGTTTAAAGAGATCCCTTTTCTCAACAACATGCATGCACGTGAATAAGAGGCTGTGTAAGGCACTTAGGAATGTTCCTAAGTGAGAGACATGAGCCAGAAGTATCTAAGTGAGAGAGATGATAATGAATATGTATATCTCAGTTGTATGGAAAAATAAGACATTACCATTGTAAAATAAATGTGACAATATGGTTGACTCTTAGCTCACATTGAATGGTGACAACTGGGAGTGCAAAGTGCACCTACGTCCCAGAAGGGGATGTGGTGCCTGCTGACACTTGGGTTGACAATTGAAAACACTTATCAAAGTTTCCCAAATGGACAATTGGAGGTGGCAGAAAGGAGTGTTTAAACAAATGGAACCATATTATCCTAAAGTTATAACTCATGCCTATGTTCAATGTTTTGTGGAGTTAACACCTTAAAAATGACAAAATATGCAACAATAACTAAAATGCTTCACACGTGGCCACCAAAATGATGTAGCAAGAATACCATAAAATAGTTTATGTAGCAGTATGACTACCTTTAATATCAAATGTTTGGGTGAACAGAAATAATCAATATTGATATTTAATAATATAATTTAAATTAGCATTAGATTCACCTCAAACCACCTGGTTGTTACTGAATGTGTTCTGGGGAGGGAAGCCCCTTTTTCGGGTTATGGTTGTGCTTGGTGACATTTTTCATGGACAGTCCAACTGTAAGGGACTATATATTACTATATACTAATATGACACTGAGAGCCTGATTTCTCAGATTCTGGTCTCTAGGTTCAGGTTTGATTTACTGAACAGGGAATTACACATTTATGCCACAAACAGAAATCTTTATTGCTGTAAGATTACAATGAAAAATGTCTTTACAGAAATATGAAAATATAAAACACAGCATTATAAAAGAAGTGTGTTGGAATTATATGGCTGCAGTCATGAGTGTGTTTGTGTATTTGCATGTTTTTGTGTGCGTGCGCTACACGCTAACAGCTACATTCAAACAAAAGTCAAAGATGCGTGTGATGATGTCATCGGTTACATAGGAGTCTGATGACTTCATCAGTCAGTGACAAGTGAGATGATGATGTCATCCTCAGCAGGGCCCGTCCTTCACAATCAAAATGTCAGCATTTTTCTCCCTGAACAAACAGAATCAATAATCAATAACTGATCACAAGGTTCAACTGATAATAACTGTTCCTGCCTTTAAAGCCCCAGTGTGTAACATTAATATAATATTCATAGGTATGTTTTCATTAATCAGTTGAAAATAAGAATTGTTGTTTTAGAATGAGATGCTTTTATCTACAATGTTTCTACAGTAGCCCAGCACAGACAAACCAAACACTGTATCTAGATAGAGACTCTACTGTAGTTTATTATATATACTGCCCACTCTCATTCCCAAGTCGTCATATACAGACGCGAGAGGTGTCCAGTGAGCAATCTGCAACTTCACCATTAGATGCCACTAAATCGTACACACTGGTCCTTTAACATTGATGCAGATTCTGTCTTCTGTATATTTACATGTCAGTTCAATAATTCACTTCATTGATCAGTGGTGGGATAATCAATATGTTATTAATACGTGAACTACCAGAGTGAAGAATTAAAGACTCACAGTCTGTGGACACAGAGAGAACATTCGTTGGGGTAAGTGATGCCATTACTGCCACACACCGGAGAGTAGTTCAGAGGACACGCTTGAGTCACGCTCATCCCCACACAGGAGGGCTTCAACAACAACAACAGTTGGTTAAACTACTTAATCATAGAGATGCTCTGCTCCAATCTCAACAACCAAAGGCATTTTAATGCTTTCTATAGGCTACATTAAGCTTTATGTATCTGATCCAACCTTTTGTTTTACGTCAGCATTTCCTCCTGAAGCTTTCCTGCTTTTTCGTGTAAAAAGAATTAAGGAACAACTTTGATATTTTTCTTGATGCAGTGCAGAACTATTCAAATGTAAAGCCCATTGGATTGATTTTAATAACTTTAATGTACCTAAAGTGTGCACTATATTTCCTATTCAGATTAGATCAGGGGCTAAAAAATCAGGACGTCCCTAATTAATGATGTTAAATTGAATTGATCTCAGTTACGATAGTAGTAGTAGTGGTAGTCTTACCCTCCTGTAGAGCCTGGATTTATCCTCAGCATCTGAAACAGAGATTTAAGAGAGATTAAAGTTAATTATAGCTTCTATTAGCTTTTTGTACACTTGACGCTTCTACCTAGACTGTAACACTGTTACCTGGACTGTAAAGTTTTCAGCAGTTACTAACACATTTTAAATGTTTTTAATAAACCAGGTTGCTCCATTAAAAGTGAAGAAATGAAGACTTTATGTATAAAAGTGTTTCCAGGAAACATCATAGTGCTGTCCAATGACAACTTTGTAAACAGGAAATCACGCTCAGTTTTAGGAGGCTAACACAGTTAACTTTCAATCTGATAATGTTTAAATATAAATATAAATAATTTAATGTTAATGTTGTTTACATCTGCCATTGTTTATACACTGTTTATACATTGTACAACCTGACCCTGTGAGGGAGTTGAACCTGCTCAGATTTATGGTTATTTAATGAAAGTCTGGGTTTACACTGCTGTTAAAGCGGTACTACGACGGTGATTAAAGAGAAGACTTTCCAATGAAGAGTTTAATCTGACTGCAGTAACAAAGGCTGCTCATTGTCCTCAGAGTGAATCCATCAGTAATATGAGTTCCTGTCAGAGCTTTTCTATTGTTCTCTCACTGATTCTGCTTTGTCATTTGATTAAATGCAACTGCAGTTCATTTACTTTAAAGTGGTAAATTAACAATAAAAATATCTCAGAAACTGACCCACTAAAGAATTAACCAACAGGGATTAAATCAAGAAAGTGAGTGTGAAAAGTTCTCCAGAGGTTATGGTTCCAATGTACTGAATTAACTATTATATGAATGTAAAACTACTCTTTGTCTAAAATCAGACATGGTGTCTGAATTAAAATCTGCTCCCTAAATCAGCGAGACTGAAGGCTCCCTGTGTGAATGTAATGCTACTGTTAGAATACGTGTACAGTCACCAGTATACACCAGAGGACTGTAGTACAAAGCCAGGTAATCCAGGTAACTTCAGGAATAACTCTGTGATATGTGGTGTAACTTCCAGGAAAACTCCTCTAGTTTACCCTGATGATGTGCAGTATCTGAGCTTCTAGGACCACAATACATCTGTTCTGTTCCCATTTAATCCTTATAAAGATGAGAGAGGCTATTTATGGTTGCAGTAATTCACAAAATAGAAATACTGTTTAATATCCATAGACTAAACCAATATACAGAACACTTTATGTCCAGAAGAATCCAGAGAGAGATTGGTGTGATTGACTGTACTCGTATCCTCATTAGCGCCTCTGGGAGAACAAGAGGAGGATTATGTGAATACAAAGTCATTTCACAGCAACACTGACTTTTGAGGCTCACAAATCTCTCTTGGTTTAATCCTTTATTAACGGGTCAGTCAGTCTGAGAGTATTTTTCTTGTTAATTTACCACTTTAATCTTGTAAATTAACTTTAAAATGACTCCAAGTTAAATCTGAGCAGGTTCAACTTCCTTCATAGAACAGCCTTTTGGCCCCATTCAGTCTTACCTGCACAGAAGAAAACAGCAATACAGATGAGCAAAAGAGTCCTGCCAAACATCCTGAATAAAAACTCCAGCAAAAAACAATGCTGAAATGATCTGAGAGGAGGTTGAATCTCTGGGTTTTCCTGGTGTGTGACTAGCTGCTGATGTGTCTGTGTGCCGGTCCTCTGTGGTTGTGATGTTTGCCGTTGCCGTGCTGTTGTCATATAGAGGATGGGCTCGGTGTTGTCGTCTCAAACAATGAGCTGCTGTTGTTGTGACGGCTGCTGCTCTCTTTTGTTCAGGCTTTAATCTCGGGATCAACATTCTGTCTACACTGAAATATCGCTGACAATGTGAAAACTGTCAGCAAGAGGAACGACTCCAACACAAACACCACAGAGAAAAACAAGTGTGGCTCTGTCACGAGTGGGAGAACATATTTACATGAATGAATTAAAGCAGAAAAACAAGCGCAACATATTTTATAAAAACATTTAAATTATTTCGACAAGCTCAAGTGAAATGTCTTTGCACAAGTTGATAGTTTATAGAATCTTCAATGATAAAAATGCTTTACATTGAATTATGCAGAACATTTAGACAAATACACAGATGAAATGGTGGAAAACAGAGATAATGGAATGTATGGGGTAGAATAATTAATAACAAATCAATAACTGTAATACATTAAAATAATACAAAAGAGTAATTAAAGCAGAGCTAGAGACTACCGAAATGTGATCTGTCTGTCTGTTATGTACTGCCTGTAGACAGTCTGAGACATGGTCTAAGCTTAGACCTCTTGTATTTTTACAACACAGATCCACTCTGATCAACTCTTTGGAGTTCATGTGGTCAGACTTTATGAAGTTCAGGTCTTAAGAGTCTTTTTGGTAGAACAGTAGATGTTTATGAGAATACTGTGGCAGCAGTACCAAACCATCAAACCCTGAAAATGTATCTCATTGTTCCACTGATTCCCTGCAAGCAGAAACCCTTGTGGCTGCAAATGAATCTAACCATGAAGTAGTGAATCCTGCAGAGAGAGGGTTAGAGAAACCCTAACCCTAACCTTTAAATCCACTGTGAAGTTAAAAACAGATCATAAAATGTGCTGTTGTTCTCATAAACTGAGCATTATATTACTTTATACATCTCAGCTGATCAACCGATAAATAAATCACGTCTCACTCCCCACTATCTTTTATTTATTTTCTTATTGAATTGATTTATCTTATATTCTGAGTTGTGGGTACATGTGAAGTTAGTAACATGCATTAATGGCGCATGCATGTGTGCAGAAAGAGAGAGAGAGGAGGAGAGGAGCTCAGTGCATTATGGGAAATCCAGGGAGTTAAATGAGTTAAGTTGTAATTTTATCTCTGTGGTGCAATCACTTTTCAACAGTACAACAGGCTGCAGATTTATAAAACGGTCACATATGAGCAGAACTATCTGATTTATGCCACTTGTACCTGCAGTGTGAATGTAGCCATGAAAGCCTCATCTGACATCACTGGATTAATAAATATTATATTTATTTATTTTAAATAATAAGATATATGATAATACTTACTTCCAGTTAACAGCAGTTAATAACATCCATCAGATCACTGATTCAATGTTATTACACATACAAACACACAGGAGGGCAGCAGAGAGCAGCTCTGCATCCGGTTCACTAAAGAAGAAGAACACCGGAAGTGTCATAATACTTCCGGGGCGCGCTTTTTTTTTGTCACAACGTCGGAGTTTGATTTTAATTTTATCTGAAGATAAAAGATAAAAGATGTACGACCAGGACGAAGGTGAGCTGCTGTTTACAGGATATTACACTGCATCGACAGACTGAGTCATCAACAGACTGTTTAACAGACTGAATTCAATTTTATTTGTATAGCACCAATTTTCATCAGAAGTTATCTCAGGACATTCTTCAAATAGAGCAGGTTCTAGACCGAACTCCTTTTAACAACAATACACAGGACTGTCTGCTACGGTAAGCGGTACTGACTCATTTCCGGTTACTTCCTGCTGTGTGTACACTGTTTCGGTGTGTAACTGTGTCAGTTTAATGCTAAATATAAACTTTGGTTACTCGTAACAGCGGTTATTTAACCCGCTTAACATTTTAAACGTAGAGACTAGTTCTACTAAACACTCGTAGCTAACGTTACTTCTTTCTTTTAGCGGACTTTTCGCTATTTTCAAAGTTTCACACACGCTAGCTTCATTAAGCACTGACAGTCAGCGATGGCTTCTCCTCTTTCTTCCTCTTCCTACTCAGTGGTGTCAGATGTTTAGTTATTCCTCTGCCTCTTTAATGATAATGGTAACATGTATTTAAGTGTAGTTTATTCACTGCGCTGGAGGCGAATGATAGGATAAGTTAGAGGCACGCACCGCACCACGAGATAATCATGCAGCCAACCATAGGTTAGCCAGCACGGGGTAGGCCGGGTGCGGCCGACCGAAGGTAGCTTCAGAGTAGCGTTGCTCCGGTAGTTCTCACGGTAAGTTTTCCCGGTAGTTCCCGGGTAAGTCAATCACACTCTTGTGACCTCAGTTTAGTCATATGGCATTGATATTGAACATTTAATAGTTCGTTTCCACATAAATCCTTTCCTATCTGGGACCATGAATTTAATAACTTTTGAATTCATACTATTAGATATAAACCATTAGGCAAACTTGCTTACAGCAAGATGTCTATTTGACAGTGCGTGAGCTAAATTTAGGAGAGAGATTTTCATTCAGATGTTCAACCAATGCCATATTCGAATAGTACAAACAGAGTCTTATAGTAAACTTTGATCACTCCAATTAGTGATAATCGTTGTTAAATAGTGCTGCAGGCTCTCGTGCGATCAAGCATTAGTGATTCTATCGTCCTAGAAAACAGAAAGTGATAATAGGAATAGGAAGTAAGAGTGTAAACAGCACCGGAGACTCCGTGATTGAAAAGCGCAAGAAGAGAACAAGGAAATAGAAAGGGGGGAAATGGCGCGCTTGAAATTAGCTGTAGGGTGTGCGCTTTGACTTGGCAAAGAATGGATCTTAAGGTAATCTAGAAAGGCCGTCGAATGCAGGGGAGAGCCGGTATTGACTCAGCACTAAAGAGAAAAAGTAAGAAACAAGCCCTAGTGTTCCTCTTCAGCACTGTAAGCCAGGTGGACAGGAGAGTCAGCAGGCTGTATTGGAGATGTATTGCCGAAGAATTTAAGTTGGAGCAATGGACTGTTGATGAGACTTATAATAAAATTAGTACTATGTAAGAGATATATTATCACAGAAAGCTCAACAGTATCAGTGGCTCTCCAAGTCAGGAACTTAAGATGCCACCTTCAGAGTGATGTTATTGATAGGAATGTGTTTTGCTATCAATCATCAGTTAACTTCAGATAATTTTCTTCATTGGAGACATGCAACTGTCTGTTAGATCAATCCAGACTAGGCTGTTAAAGAAGTTGTACCTTAATTGGCACTCTACGGATATGATTATCGTCCTTTAGGTAACAGGAGTGTGTACCGCGCGGCCGTTTATGTGTTAAACGCTTCTGTAAAA